TCAAGATTTATCAAGACTATAAATTTCCTAAGTTCAACTCTACCTAGTCATGTCCATTTAGAATCTTTCATGCCTACCGACGCATCAATCCCAAAGCATAGACCCTTCAACTTTGGGTATGTTACGCAGACTTAGATTGTCTGTTAATACTAGATAATATCACTTCCTAAAATATCTCCCTCAAGCACATTTCATAACCAACATTTTTTTTTGATTTTCTGATTTTCTAATGTTTTTGGATTTTTGAAAATTTTCTAATTTTTGTTTTGTTTTTATTTCTCCCCCTTAAATTTGTGCATAAGAGAGAAATGAAAGTAAATGCGCAAATTTAAACTATCCTAAAACAAAAATTTGTCCTTAAAGTGAATCAGCTTAAGAAAAACTCAGGAGTATAGAGAAGAAAACGCAAACCGTAAGACACCGATTGAATTTGTATCCAGAAGTTCTAAGAACAACACACATAATCTCAGAACAGATCCGAAAATTCTTCATGTCATTAAGCACCAACCCCGTTTGTGATCTCTTCCTTTCTTCCTTTCCCTCAAAGGACACATACTCCCAAACAATGTTCTGAGTGTTGTACAGTTGAGAGATGCCTCCTATCATGTGCCTGGAACAGCCACTACCAACAAACTAAAGTCTGATGATATGCCTCCATAGCTGCTCAGACACAGAGCGAGATTAGTTGGTCTTTGGAACCCAGTCCATCTTGAAACTGGGTCGAACATGTTTATCCTTGCACGGTACTCTCTCCCATGACATGTAACGCTTATCACAAACATAAGATGTAGAAATATTAGAATCATTAGAAGATTTGGGAGAGTGAGCCTTTGGAACCCATTTGTAGTTGGGTTTAACCCATTTCTTTTTCGATCTGATGGGTGGCTCGGTACTTGCTTTTGATCTTGATGTCGGCCGTTGAGATGACTTTGACCTAACTGGTCTTTGTTTCAGTGGATCATCTATTGGATTGGGATTCTTCGCCGACATTCCCTTCTTGACTTTGGGATTTTGATTCTTGTCCTTTGGAGTTGAATTCTTGGCCTTCTTGGCATTCCAGTAGTCAATGTATGACCGTGATCTCAAGGGGTATCTTTTGGAGTATCTCCCTCTTGGCGCTTTCTGCCAGCCTTGTTCGTAGTAAGGAACGTATGCGCGATTTGGACAATTTCGGGCAATGTGACCAGGTGTTCCATAATGAAAACAAGTCTTTTTCTTCACTGGGAAATTGCTTCTTCCTGCCCCTGGTGGCATGTCTTTGCCTTGTCTCTTGTTCCCACATGCACACTTGCCACAAGAACTCTGTTGCGTTGGAATTGGTGGCCTGTATTTCTCAACAGCAGGTTGATCAGAAACAGCTGAGTTCGAAGCAACAGATTCAGAGTTCAAGGAGTCATTGGTTTGTTTAGTAGTGCTCTCCTTATTCTCATCTTTTGCTACTTTACCTGCACATGAAGTAGAAACATTAGCATTTTCAACATTAATAACTCCTCCTGACATAAATCCAACTCGTTTGCCATATTGAAGATGTGCCTCCCTGGCAATTTCTTCCTGTGTCATAGGGATGGATGTGTAGTTATGATTATAAGGTGGAGGAACACTATCATACCCTAGACCCTTGTTTTGATTATCTTTAAATTTTAATTGGGTTTCGAAATGGACTCGACTGTCTGACTTGACGCAGTATAATTTTTGAAACTGACATCTGTTTTTCCACACTTAATTTTTAAAGCGCCAAGTTCTTTAGTTACAGCAGCAAGTTGTCTCTTAATATAATCATAATTTTCACACTTGTTGCTATACTCTTCCTGAAGTTTCCTAAAGTCCTTGGTTTTTGCTTCTAATTCAGCCTTCAGGGGTTTCTGTCCTTTCCTGAGTTGATATCCTTCATATCTCAGGTCCTCAACTTCTCTTTTAAATAAATCAATTTGTTCCCGAAGAAATTTAATCGTGGCTTCACAAGTTGGAGTACATGTAACTTCAGTGACCGGAATGTTTTCAGAACTCATTGTGTCTCTACACTTCAAAGCATCAAGTTCTTGAATTACATCAGCAAGACTAAGATGATTGAGATCTTTTGTCTTCTTGATGATAGTCACGTTCATATCCCACGATTTCGGAAGTGCATTCAGCAGCTTTTTGTTTATCTCAGATTTGGTCAAGAAAATCCTAGCTATATTCATGTTAGTAGTGAGTGTGGTAAATCGCTGCAACTGAGCTTCCAGGGTTTCTCCAGGGATATAATCGAACATGTTGAAGTTTTGTCTTAACTGATCCTGATGACTCTTTTTCATGTTTTCAATTCCCTCGTAAACTTCAAAATATATTAAAAGCACAACTAGAAGTCAAATTTAAAAATGCCCTTTAACTCAAAACTTCAAAAGTCAACCTTAAAAGTCAAACTCAAAAGTTAAACTTGAAAAGTCAAACCGAAAATCTAAATTTGAAAATTGAAAAGTCAAACAAGAAAGTCAAAGTTTAAAGTTAAAGGTCAAACTTTAAAAGTCAAAGTCAAAATTTTAAGTAAAAAGTCAAAAATAAAAATTTAAAATTTAAAAAATTAAAATTTTTGGTTGAAAAAGAACTTTAAAAATGAAAGAAATTGATTTTTGGGTTGAATTTGTCAAAATTGTGAAAGTTGGATCCGAAAAGGAGTGTTTAAGAATTAAAAACGGGAGGAAGAAACAAAGGCGCAGCTTGGAAGAGTTGGTAAGGCGCGAGGTTTATGAATCAAAGGTCGTGTGTTCGATTCTCGGCACCTCAAAATTCGTTCCCCTTTTTTAAGATGCGCTGCGAGGCGAGGCGATGCTGCTGCGATGCGAGGTGCGACGATGCTGAACGAGGCGAGGCGATGCGGCTGCGATGCGAGGTGCGAGGTGCGAGGTGCGAGTATGCTGAACGAGGCGAGGCCGAGGCTCCTGAGCGAGGCGAGGTGCTGATGCGATGCTTGACTTGCTGCTGTTGAGAAGTATATAAAGTTTAAACAATCAAATGGTTTAACAAAATCCCTTGTAGCTCAATTGGATAAGGTGCGTGGTTTTGAAGAGTTGAAGGTCTCGAGTTCGAACCTCGGCACCCCTAAATCCCTTATCTTTTTATACTAAAGAGCTGCTGATGCATGGACGAGGCCGCAAACTCCGGACCGTAAACCCTTTAAAGACCGTAAACTCTCCAGAAATCGCTATTTTTGACGAAAAACAACGTTTTTTTCACCCTTTTTGCTCCAAAACTCGATCAAAAACTCGTTTTTACGAAAAACGCGAAGAACAAACCCGCCTAATTTTTCGTGATCTATCCAAAAACGCCAGAGTATTTCCAAAATAAGATCAAATCGGCTCCAGATCTGACAAAGATGAGTCATACAAACCAAGCTCTGATACCAATTGTACGTCCCTAATATGATTGCGTATCAATCAAATGCATTTGATGGCGCGGAATCCCGATCAAACAGATGATGTCAGATCAAATATAGAAGAGAAGGAGAAGAAGAAGAAGATGAATCTTGTATGTATTGATATGAACGAAAATCCAGATACAAGATTCACACACACTAACACACACTCTCTTTTCTCTCTCTCTAGAACACCTTCAAATGCACACACTAAAGCTCCTTGGTGTTCATCACTCTATTCCTCACACCCCTCACCCCTATATATACACATGGGAAACATGGGCCGTAAACAGGGTTTACGGCCGTAAACAAGTTTACGGCCGCAAACTCACTCACCGACCGTAAACAGCTAAACAATACATAAAAATACAATTTCTTAGAAAAGCAAAGTATAAACCATATTTTTGACCCAACACTGCTATCGGAGAAGAGGAACATGTTCTGAATGTTTAAGGTTTTTCAGAGGCTAGTGGCGACGGAAAATGAATAAATCAAGTATGGGCTATTGCAAAAATGAGAGTCAGAATCAGCTTGACTTTTGTTCAAGTTTCTCCGATCTGAAAAAATAAGTCTTTTGTTTTGCAGATCTAAAAAAAATCAAGTGCTAGTTCTGCTAAAGTTTTTCCAATCATTCTTTTAAACATTTGTTTGTTCAAGTTTTTCGACTTGAAATGAATAAATCAAGTCATGTTAAAGATTGCAAATATGAAAAATGAGTTTTGTTTTGCATATTTGAATTTTTTTGTTTAACCGGAGCTAGAGGTGGTCACTCGTGGCAGTGGTGGATTCTGGAAGAGAGAAAGAGAGAGAGGTGTGGGTGGGTTAGTAATTGGTAATGTGTGGGGTGGCTATTCTTTTTTTTTTCTTTAATTTATAAAATATTGAAATAAAAGAAAAGAAATAGAAAATAAAAATACAAAAGGTAAACTCATAATTCTGAAAAAGTTAAAAGAAAACTTGACCAAAGTTACAACAAATGAACCCTTTTGGACCATTCGTCCAATTCCAAACCATTTTGGACCAAACATCCAATTTTTGACAAACCACAGGGATCAAACTTGCAATTTTTTCCGATATTAAGTAATAACTAATTATTATTATTATACAAAATCTATTAAATAAATAAAAAGGTATTTCAAGTTATTGATTTAGTTTGCTGTCATAAAAAGATGGATGATTGCATATCCAACGGAGGAAAATTTTCGCGAAGAGGGCTAAGAGAAAAAATGAAATTAGTTTTTTGTTGCCAATATCCTAGACGAAGTCACGAAAACATAATTTAAGAAGATATTCTCTCGGTTTGGAATGACGAACGACATCTATTTTGGTGAATGAAAAGGAAGAAATGGGAAATACTTTGGATTCATCCGGTTTATTGATGTTGAAGACCCCAAAGCCAAGGAAATCAAGCTTAAACTCTGCCATACGCAGAAAGAATTGTCTGATAGTCAACATTATTAGGAATGAACGGAAGGAGCCTCCCAGGAAAGCTTAGCAGACGTGGATACCAACTGGCCCATATCAACAGAATGATGTCTCGTTAAGGGTTGGTGCTATTGACAAAAGAACCTTCACGGAGGTACTCTCTCAGAACAAAGCGACATCTCATATGCCTATTCTACAAGCTGACAACGACATGGAGGAATGGATTCAATCATGCACCCTAACAGGTGAGGCTCTTTCCCTTATCTATCTTGGTCATCTTCCGACCTTGTTAACCATTTATAGTGACATCGTGGTGAATGTTAAGTACATTGGGGGTTTAAGAGCAGTTATATGTTTCGAAAACTTAATTTCTACAAAGGAATTTCTATAAAACAAGAATAGGAAGGATTCGTTGAAATGGTTACAAATGGGGGCATCGAATGAGTCCAATTTTGAAAGGGTGGCTTGGATTAGAATCGTAGGGTTACCAATTAAACTTTGGAGTGAATCCAATTTTAGTTTCATGGTCAGTAATTTTGGAAAGATAATAGCCATCTTTGAGGATATCAGAGAGCGAGTTGATATCTCATGTGTCAATCTGGGTATCCTTGCAAATTGGATAAAGAAAATTAATGAATAATTTCGATCCATGTTGAGGGTAATAACATATTGATAGGTATAGTTGAATATGATGATGAGCCCAGGTTTCCTTTCAAATTCAATTCGGAAGTTCAACCTTACAAAAACGATATTGACACTTTGGAAGTGGCGAGTTCAGAAAAGGATGAAAGCGACGATGAATATGGTATATCTGTATGTGCAGGAAAGAAATGGAAGAAGGAATGATACTAAAGGATACCACAATATCACTGTCACCTGTCTGGGCTGAACCATCGACTAAGGAAAGGCTGACGTCATCCATACCTGAGGCTGTTGTGGTGCCTCCGAAATCAGCTCCAATATCGAATTCGACATCAGAAAGGGTTTCAGCTCGTGAAATTCCTACCAACGAAGAAGGGGAAGAGTCACAAGGGAACAAAAAAGAACTTAATGTCATGTGGAATATCGAATTTGGGACACGTTCTTCATATTTGATTACAAGTCACGTACAGGTAAGCCAACCAAAATTGCTAAGTCCAAAAAACCTAGTACTAAAGGAATGCTTTGGGCCATTTCCAATTTCGGTACCCAGTCCAACCACCATTAGCCCAAACCACTTGGATAGACCGTCTTTTAAACGTAAACAAATTTTTATTTCCTTCCCCCATTTTCCATCTATTGTGTACATGAGAACAACCATCGTGAAATCCCATTCCCTTCCTCTACTAACCTAAATAACAACAACCCTTTACCCCCAAGACAAACGACACACTTATATTGACTTGAACGGAGTAACACAGCCTCTTAAGTATGATGAATCTGAAATCACGATTGCAATCGAGAATTTGATTGGGTTTGAAATTCACGCTAAGAACCCATTGTTGGTTGAAATTCTGGAGGTACCTGGTGAGAATAATGGTGCTTAATGAACATTTTATCACTGAATATAAGAGGTATAGGAGAAGACTACAAAATCAAGTGGGCCAGGAGACTAAACACAACACATAGAATATTGCTTTTCACCATCCAATAAAAACAATGACAGGACACAAACTCCATAGATGTTGCAACATGCTAGGTGGTCAAACAATTTTGGTGTAGAAAGAGTCAATGCATCTGGGAGATCGGGTGGATTGATAAATATATGTGATAGTCGTGTCTTCATCTCATCTCAAGTTATATCCACAAGGAGTTTCTTGATTAACATTGGATTCTGGTCCGATAGTCAACCTACAGTAATTTTAGCAAACATATATGGTCCCCAATTAGTTTCAGATAAAGCAAGGCTTTGGGAAGAGCTTAAGCGAATAAAAATGGAGAATGATGGTATATGGATAGTAATGGGGGGTTTTAATGTCTTTAGAAGGTCTGATGAAAGGCTCAATTATGTTTTCCGTTCTCGTTCTACTTGAGATTTTATTTGTTTTATTCGTGATAACAGACTTTCAGACATGAAGATGGGAGGGAATTGATTCACTTGTTTTCGCAACGAGGACCTCAAGTTGAGCAAATTAGATAGTTTTCTCACATGTCATCGATTTCTTGATCTAGTTCCTTTTGTAACCGTCACTACATTGTCACGGAAGCATTCTGATCACTTTTGTTAGGAATAAAATCCTCCTAGATCGGTTAGACTCTAACAAGTACAATATAAGCATGATATGAAAAACAAGAACACAAGACGTATCAACTAGTGTCGAATGATTAAAAGGCACAGCCTCAGAAGAACTCTATGAAGAATTGCTACTGTAGAGGCGTGCTAGGGTTACAAAAGTATCAATCAACAGTTAACAACTATGTTGAATGCATGCACTATAAATACTATAACCCTAATAACAGATACGATTGGACAGGCCCACACCATGTACATAATGAACATATACAAAATAGCCCACTGACTTAATTCAATATACTCAACAATCTCCCACTTTGCATCAATTGAGGCGAGAGATACTTCACTGTTATGTCTTCTTGATGGTCTTGAAGAGTTTGGGAATCACAACAAGCAAAGTCCTGTGAAACAGGATATACTAGCGAATCATGTAATTGAAGTGCCTCTTCATGGCATCATTATTCAAGTTGCACTTGTGGATAATCTCCAAAACATGTTCCAGACAAGTCGTGGAAAATAGATGTTTATCAAGAAGAGAAAAAAGACATTTATGAAAAGTCCCAGCAACTTCAGTCCCTCGCTAAAACATCACAGTTAAGTGATCCATGTCAAAATTTCCCATGCTCATTTTGCTCATGTCACTGGCTTTGCCGATTGGATTAACTGTAGGCTTTCGTTTCATAACCTTGGCAATCTCAATGTTGAGTTTTGTCACTTTAAAAATTTCCAAAACCAACATTCTCTTCAGATGAGCAATGATAGGTTTGTATTTTTGTTCTTCGATGAGCAAAAGATTGAGCAGCAAAATCCAGTCATGAGGGTTGAGATTTGGCAAATCTACAAGCAAAAATTCATGCAGATAATTTTCTTAACCCCTCGTCACCTTGAATTTGACGTTCACAAAACCGCCAGTTGCAATAGGTCTGGTGACTTTGACTGTTGTGATTTTCTGGGCACTCCAGGTAAAATATTGCGGTTTACCAAAAGCGAGATAAAAACCGATAAGGGCTTTATCTACTTTGGAATCTGGAGAGGGAACTTTTGTGATTGTGTCAAAACAGTGAAATACAAAGGCTCTTCTCGTAATCGACATATCAAACTATGAGTCTTTTGTATTATCCAGATCAAACAAAGCAACAGGTTCCAACCAATACATGCTTGGAAGATCAACGGCTTCGTGCATCATTCGCTCCAACGTCTACAGAGGAAACAACAGTTTTCTACATTCCAATGTGCCGTGAGCTTTTTTCTCCTTTCGCTCTTTCTCTTCAGCTTCCCTCGCTATGTGAGCATTTTTATTCAGTTCTAGATCACGAGCCTTTATTTTTAATTTATATTCTTCAGATTCGTCATCTTCATCATCTTCACCCATTGGTTGATTTCCTTTATCAATCTTTGTTTTCTCCCCTGCCTTAGCTTCTTTACCATCTCCCCCTTGTTCAGGTTGGACAGAAGCCTCTGGAACACCCTCGATCCTGTTCAACAGAGCAATGGCAGGGTGAAGCCTGTCAACTAGATGCCTTCTAATTGTGATAGTCAAGATTAGGTCATGAGAAGATTGGATAACAGCAAGTTGACATCACTGACACAACTTTTCATAACTGTTCGCTCATATTTGAGTTCATCAATTTCCTTTTTCTCTTGCTTGAATTTCACTGATTGAGGCCTCAGTTGAGTGGTGCGTAGTGCAAGTTCATCCATGAATTTGCTTTTGACAGCTAAATCGGCTTGAAATTAGGAAAATCTAGAAGAAATTGATGTCTGAAAGGCAGAGTTATCAACAGAATTATTAGCCTGAAGCTTCTCAATAGACTCTTGTTCTTTTCGAATCGAAGCATTGAGATTGAAAATAGCATCATTCGCATTAGAAGCATTTGTTGTTGCAGCCATATTGATCTCTGTTATAAATGCTTTCGTGTCAGAGATTAGTTTATCGACTTTCTCGGTCACTTTCTAACAAGATTGAGCAGAGTCTTCAACGACTTTGTTGGATCTAGCAAGATTGGCAGCATGTTCCTTAACCAATGCGTCAAGCGTACCCTTTACAGCGGCTTCTGAGTAAGCTTGGCTAGAAGAAACAGTAGAAGAAGCAATGATAGAATCCAATTTCTCGTTTAGAGCTTTCAAATCCGTTTGAGTGATAGGTGCATCTTCATCACTATCTTATTGAATAGAGAAAGGAATGTAATGAAACGAATCAAAGTCAAATCCCTCTGCCCCAAGAAATTCTTCTGATCCATGATGTTGAGGAGAAACGTGAGTTGTAGTGGAAGTCGGAAAACCTGATGTCTTTGCCCCCACATCAGATGCGTTGACATCAATAATATGATTGGTTGTAGTGGTGGTAGTAGTAAATGCAGAAAAAAATTAGGTTTTGGTGTAGAGTAGAAGTGGGTGGTTGGGTAGAGATTGGAGGTGGACAACGAACAATGGTAACAGGTGTAGTAGTACGAGTAGGAGAAGAAGTAGGAGATGAAATTCTAGTATCAAGGTTTACCTCTTACTTCGGTGATGGTGGAGGCGAATAACCATGGAGCAATTCATCAGAGTGAGAGTCTTCACTTTCTTTTTTATCAACATCCTCCCTATCAGTAGGAACATAATCACTATCTCTTGGGGAAGAAGGTTGGGGCATGACCATCTTTTTAAGCTTTCACTTCTTAGGAGTTGAAGGATCAGCATCTGCACCCTTTTGCTTCTTAAGAATAAGGGATTGAGAAGATTGACCTCCCTTTCCCTTTTTCACTTCATCTCCCTTATTACCTCCTTTCTTTTGAGTATCAGCTTCATCCAAGGGCTTTTGCATCTCTGGAGTTATCTCTCTCGAACCCAAAACTGGTTTCGTCTTGTAGGACTTCGTAATTTTACTCGCTCCAGACACACATCGATACATCGACTCAGGAATTGATCCAATGAAGGAAAATTTGGAGTTTTTTGCAATAATGATATTTATCGTGTGGAATGTGGCGATCGAAGCCAGCAAAGAATCTGCCATAATTTGAACATTAAGCTTTTAAAGAAACCTTTGCACTACAAAAGTCCAAAAATGGCCACAAGAAATTTCGGTGTGTCTAGAAGATGAGTTCATGCTCTGCAGTAACTGAGCCTACAACACCGAGCCATAATCGAGATTAATCCCATGGTAAAGACCATAAAGGATTGTCATAAACAGTTTGTTGGCATAATTCGACGCAACAACTCTCTCTAAAAAATCTTTGAAAAGTAAAGTGAACAAACCTTTCCATTGTGGTGGGAGAGAGGATTTATTGAACTTGGTAATTGTGGTGAGAACTTCAGTATACCCCATGTGATCGAACATCTCCAAGATTTGAGAAGTAGAGATGGACTCTAGGTTTATCATGGTGTCATCGTAGGCTAGCCCTAGAAGAGAGCAGAATCGAGCCTTTGTAATTGAAGTCTTCTTGTCTAAGATCTCGAAGGTAATATTTTCCTCATCCTTCAGGTAGATTGTAGATGAACAAGCATTGAAAACAGCTACATCAGAACTGTCTCAACATTGGTTAGGGCAGTAACAAGCGGTGAGTATTTGACACGTTCCACGATAGGTACCAAGTACGAATCGTATTTGAACGGTGCTAAATCCAAGATAAGATTTTGGTTCGGCTTAATAGTGAGAAAAGAGGATTGAGTGGTTTGTTCTTGAACAGATGAAGAATCGGCCATTGTTGTAGGTTCTTGGAGAAGATGAATAGTAAGTAATCGCCTTTTGAGTGCTCGAAAGTTTTTGTGAGTGATAAAAAATAATAAGCGCTACGTGAAGACCCTTTATACAATTACCCAGGAGAGAGAAAAAGTGTGATGAAGATTGTGTGACTTTCTCTGAAACGGTGCCTGAAAAAGCGCAATTGACAATTGTTCCTCCTAAAAAGGTGTCAGGCGGCGTGATGACAGGGAGATTTCAAATTTCACATGCCTTTTGGTTTAAATTCTTATCCTGAACTTTTTCCGCATCAGCATTAACTTGCTCCCAACGTTTCAATTCCGAATCTTCATTATAGGTCACCATGTGACAACCGTCAATTTCCGGTCAAGTCAAAGTCAACTAAAGTCAACAAGTCAAACTGGTCGACTCAATTAACCCGTGGGTACTAGGGCTTACGTTAGATAATTACTATACAACTCGCTATGCTAACGAGAAATCATCAATCGAAAAGTCTGTACATCTAGATTCCCTTAACCTAAAACTGTGGTAAGTAACAAGCCAAACCGATAAAACAATGTTGCATACTCATCGGGAGTGTGTAAGGTCCTTAAACATGGCTTAACGGGGCTTACAGACCTTGTGTTGCGGAGACAAACACTCACTAATGTCACACATGAAACCTATCTCAAATTGTTTTCACTTTATCTCTCTTTATCTAGAATCTCTCCCAAATCTCTCTTTCTATGAGAAATCTCTCCAAGAATGTGAAATCTCTCCCAAATCTCTCTTTGTATAAGAAATCTCCCCAAGAGTGTGAAATCTCTCCCAAATCTCTCTTTTGTATGAGAAATCTCTCCAAGAATGTGAAATCTCTCCTAAATCTCTCTTTGTATGAGAAATCTCTCCAAGAATGTGAAATCTCTCCCAAATCTCTCTTTGTATGAGAAATCTCTCCAAGAGTGTGAAATCTCTCCCAAATCTCTCTTTGTATGAGAAATCTCTCCAAGAATGTGAAATCTCTCCCAAATCTCTCTTTGTATGAGAAATCTCTCGAAGAGTGTGAAATCTCTCCCAAATCTCTCTTTGTATGAGAAATCTCTCCGAGAGTGTGAAATCTCTCCTAAATGTCTCTCAAAAGTTCCTTAAACTTTTTGTAGTCTTTCGAGCCATCCCGACCCTTAACCAGGTCAAAAACCACTTAAAATAGGGTAAAAACGGATAAAATAGACTTAAGGATCCGAAACCCCTCTTAAGGAGCCGAACCCTCTTAAGGACCCGAAACCCCTCTTAGGAACCGAACTTGTCAGAAGCGAAGGCATCTGAAGCGAAGGTTGCTGAACCGAAACTAGGAGGACCGAACCCGAAGGGTGCTCTCGGGCCCGAACCTCACACAAGGAACCGAAGCTACCTTCGGCCCATTTCCCCTCTTACCCCCTTTCGCTCCATTTCACTTCCTGACTCACCCGCGCCTTCAGTCCCAGCCTTCTAAGGACCGAACCTAGCCACCTTCGGCCCCCCTAGAAGCCTTGCAGAAAGAGCATTTCTTCCCGGTTTTCGACCACGATTTCATTTTCAACCCGTTTTTTCATCATTTTAACGTGGGATTTTCACCCAAAACTTTATTTTAACATATAAGGCCCCATATTTATTAATAAATCATGTTATTGGGGATAAAACCTTATCCATGAAGAGTGGGTGAAGTACAAAGGTTGAGTGTTGACTTTCTTTGTATTATGACACAAGCAACCACCATACCCACTCCATGACTAACCCACACTCCTCCCTACCATCCCTGGTCACTTCCTTGTACCTTTCCATCAATCATCAGCCATTTCCCATGTTCTTAGAGATGGAACATCCATCCTCTCTCCTGACACTTCATTCATTCTCTCATTTTCCACCAAAAGATCAAACACTTTTCTCTCAAACTTTTTCTCTCTATTTCGAGACTCCAAGGCTGTTAATCAAGCTTTATTATACTCTTGATAAGTATAATTCATCCTCCTTGTGATTATTACACTTCATTCTACACAAATCATTGATTGTTTACTCAAACTCCATCACTTTGATGTTAGATTCTCGAAAATCTTCAAGGCATCTTCAAGTGTTCTTGAGTTGAACACTTCTCATCTTCAACATTCACCCACTGAAATCAATCAAGGTGAGTTCATACCACTGTATTTTCATGTTTTCTTAAGTTTTTAGGGGGGGGGGGGAATACAAGTTAAAACATCAAGAACATCAATAAACTTTCCAACAACTTTCATCAGAAAAGTTGTACTCCATTCACGGACTGTTTTGGGCAACTTAAGCATTTTGATTTTCAAAACTGTTTTAGGTTCAAGTAGCTCCAGTTCTTAGCTTTAAAATGATTACTTGCACATCTCCATACGATTTTCCTACAATTTATGGTGATTTTTACAAAACTGCCTATCGTTTCAAACATCAATCCGGACCAGTCTATGATTATGGACTTTTTCACACAAGTTGGAGGTCATTAAAATTCATAATAAAAATTATGAACAAACTAGATTCATTTCCCAAACTCTCAAAATTTACGGATTCTGATTTGGACCTTTGATCATTTTTCTATAAATTTTCTAAGAACAGTAAATGAAAATATTAACAACAGAAAAATGCTATCAATTTCATTTCACCTTGTAACATGTTGAGCAAGGTGTATATCTTTATGTGAAAATATTTTCTTACAAATAGATGACATTTTGACTTAGTATATAGTCATACATCAGAAAACAAATGGATTTTTACCTACGAAAGTATGGTAATCAATTAGTTGTTATATTGCATGTTGCTTCACTTTAGTAAAAGGTATACATACATATCGGTAAACAAAAGGGTTTTTACCTTCACACAGTAGTTAACCATAATAAACAAAGTTATAACTATTACATTTAAACGTTTTGATAAACTATAATAGGTATGGTTTATGTTTCCATTAACACATCAAACACATTTCAGAAGGTTTTATTCCCACAGAAAAAGGTTTTACACTCACGCACACCACACGTAAACTTGTTAACGTAAATCGTGAGACATTCTCTTTCCGTACGTCCGAGTGCGGGATCCAAATTCTTGGTAGTTATAACCAGAGTCTCTTGTAGGGAGAACATGATAGTTGTGTATAGATCTATATTGGGTTAGACACCCCACACCTGAGCTGCATGAAACAACTAGACCGGCAGGTCTGTGGTGACAAATATCATATCAGTTTCGCGACGCCTGAGTAACATCGTGGCAGGTTCATTCAGTCATAGTATGGTTATAGCGACTGAAAAAGAAAGTTAACAACTCATAAAGTTTATGGGAATTTTCATAATCAAAAGGGGTTTTATGTCAATTTAAAATCACTTTCTACCTCAATACGTACGGATATTACTCTACACTTTCGGTCTTGGTATTTAAGACTACACGTTATTCATTACGGGATTTTCCCTCAAATCAGAAAGGGTTTTATGCCGATTTAAAACCATGGTTAGATCATTAAGTATGGAAAATACTTGTTTACTCTTGGTCCTGGGATTTAGGACCACGAAACTTTTAAAAGGAAAATATTGGATTTTTCTTGGTGACATACAACACATTACAAAGAACGGTTTCCAAACTCCTTATCTCAAAAACTTATGAACTCACCAACTTAATTGTTGACACTTTTTCAAAACTACTTGTATTCTCAGGAATTCAGTGAAACAGGAAATCAACAACGTTTTGAGGATGGGATGATAAATTGTTAAACGGTTCATTTTGTCATCATAATGTAATTGATTTGAATCATGTAAACATATACTTTGGTGTAACTTTTTCAATTATATTTATGATGGTTGTATTTACTTTGAGCACTATTATACTCATTGTTGTGATACTATATATGAAGTCCTCCACCCCGGACGTTTCCGCCATCCTTTGTTTGGGGGTGTGACACACCATATCCCCTTTCACTTGAGTAAAACTTA